AGGATACCTTAAAGAATCCTCAAAACGACATTGGTAATTATTTTGGCCCCCGTATTGCCTGAAGAAACCTGAGCAATTGGCTTGTTCTTGTCAGAGTTGTCGGGACCATGACGTGCCGCATGTTGGCTTCATTCTCAAGTTGTACACCGCAGCTGGCACATTTCAAGCTATCGAAGAAAAAGGATGCTGAGAGAGCCACCGTGTAATAGTCGAGCCTGAAAGGAAAGTTTGGAATGCATAGCAATTTCGTCTAACTTGATGCAGTTCTTACTGCCCACAAAGATCCGTACATGGTTGTCTCTCAATGTATCCGCTATAAGATCCCTGATAGGAACCCGTGTCATCCGCTCATAATCCCAATGCCCCCAGGCTCTCCACGAGCATCCCTATGTTCTCAAGCACTGACCTGTGTCTTGATCTCTTGTCAGGGCATGGATAAAAGTCAAGGTCTCAGTCAACAGGAGTAGTATCTTAAATGAGGGTACTCTTGTCTCCCATATATAGCAAGATCCATTTTTTTGGGATATGGCTCCTGGAAGAAGAACGTAATTTCACATGGTTCAACAAGAAGCGCTGCTGGCATGATGCATCGCGGCCGGGAAGTGTCTGATGTCAAGATCGCGGAGTTGGCGAGTCTGCATCCTGACTGAACCTCTGTGGGCTATCAGACCTTGCAATTTCCTAAGTCTACATAACCCTAAACGCTAAACCCTTGTGGGGATCCAGATGGGGAATTATAGCGTCACATGGCCTATCTTGGAGGGAGCTAGCTTTTTCTGATGCTGTGGGTCACTCTTTTGAAGAATTTTAGTCATAGGTTGCATTAAGCATGTTCGCTAGCTGCTCAAGTCATGAGGGTGGGGCCATGAAATACAATTCCCACGTGCGCATGCGCGATTTAACCCTAATCCCTAACACCTGAACCCCAAACTCTCAACTGTTTTCAGGTTGTGCATTGACGTGGAAATGGCCCGGGAGGTCTTAGAGCGGAGCAGTGGGGATCTCCGCTTAGCAGTGGAGATGGCTTTTGACACGACTGGTGCTTCGAGCCAGGATGAGGTGTCTTGGCATTCGTGACAAGGGTTTAGGGTCTAGGGTTGGGGGTTTCCCAAAACTAGGGGTACCATTTTAGGGGTCCTTTTCCTATAAGAAGGATTAGTATTTGGTATTGGTTCCCCTTCTTCTTGGAAACTGCCATGTTTCGCCAGAGACCTGGATCGGCTTCCGTGCAGGAGTCAGACCTCGAAAAGGATCCAGGAAATAGAAGCTCCCAGATCCTTCAAACCCTAAACCTTGAACCATGTGGCAACGGGTCATTTTAGGGAGGCTCCACCTTTTTGGATCCTTTAGAGGTCTCCCTCCCTAACAGTCATGATTGGCTTATCCAGTTATACTCACAGTATCCTACACCTCTCATGCCCCTATATATATATGTATGTCCCTGTATAACACTATATGTAGCCTATGTACCCCCTACACATGCCCTACAATTGGGTTTTGTTGGAATTCGTGGAATCTTGGGACCGCCGTCAAAATCTTGCGCAGATCAGCAAAATGATAGGAATCCTGATCTTGAGGCTCTTTAAAGGAAGAGTCTTCTGAAACAGAGGGCCACATCCGTGCCTAGAAGGCCACCCTAAACCTTAAACCCTAAGCCCTACGCCCTAAACTAAACAAACCTACGTCCTAAATCCTGAACCCTAAGCCCCAGTGCATGGAAGCCCAGGATGTAGCTCTGCCAGCCCCAGCTGCTGCCCAACGATTGCCGGCATCGGCCCCTCGCAATTGGCAGGTGCCTGCTGCAGCCGCACGGTTTAAGGTTCACGATTTAACCATTGTGGGGGTAGAATTTTTCTTTGTAGTTTCCCCAAAATAGGGTACTCTAATATAGACCACAATATATTATGGTCCTTATTATGTAGGGTTTGCTCAAGACCCAGTTTCGGTTGCATTGGCCCGTAAACGCCAAAGAATGGAGCCGTTTCCATTCCTCTGATCCTGCGCCATAAACTATAAACCTTAGGAGGACCCCCCACCCTGTAATAGTGGTATAATAAGAACATAAGATGACCTTAATATAGTCCCTATTATCCCTTATAGTCACTATTACTGGGTTGGGGGGTCCACCTAATATAAACCTCAAACTCCAAAATGCAAAGTGAAACCTCCACTATTAGCCTTGCACCCTAAACCCTGAGCCCGATGGTCAGGCAGAACTGGCCTCAAGCAGTGTTGAGAATCTGCGGCGAAGCAGAACTTCGTGGCACCTTTCATCCATGATATAGTATGCATTGGGTTTAGGGTTTAGGGTTTAGGGTGTTTGCTTATGTTCTTTTTGTTTCCCATTCATGGGAAACATCTACAGTAGATTTGGCATTTGGCTGAAGGTTGTCTTGGCTTCTAAGCCAGAAGAGGAGTTGGGAGCTTTAGGATATAGTCCCCCTTAAGTAGATAGAACATGGGGTATTTGGGGATCTTATTATAATATACCCAAAGCCATATCCTATCTACTTAATGGGGACTATACTTTGTCATAAGAATCCACTGTGATCATTTTAGTTGGTTCATAGCAACGGGAGTAGTTGCTTAACAAAATGACACGCATCGTGATGCCGACTTTTTTTTTGGCAACCTCTTGTTGTGTTTCGATTTCTCAGTCTCCAGCCCAGGCGACTGGTTTGCTGCTAAACAAATTAAAGCAAGTAAACGTAACATGGGTACATGCGTTTTAGGGTTTGAGTTGCCATAATATCGGTATATTGTAACTTATGGGGTTTCCTCATTATAGTAATTTAGTTGAATTTCTTTAACAGCAGCCCAGGCTAATGCCAGGCTTATCCTTGGCTGCAGGCATCATGCCGGACGTTTTTGTTTCAGTTGCTGAGCCTCAGCAAAAGAAACGCCGCATCGAAACGCCTCCATGTGCCTTCAGCATTCCCAACAACAACAAAGACGCGCCAGCTAAGACACTGGGCCAAAGGTTTGGGTTTCGGGCTTAGCGTTTAGGCTTAGGGCACAAGCTGTCGCTAAGTTGGACCTCTTATGCAGAAGCTGCCTGCAAGAATTCTGGGAATGTGTACTTACCCCTCTAGCAGTTGTGATATGGACATCCCGAAGGCATAAGAGGTTCACAGTCTTCCGAGGGAGCCCAATACCCCTTAATGTAGATATTTCCTGAAATCATGTATCCTGGATCTTGGCAAACTTGAGGGGATATTCTTACATCAAGGTGTGTTGGACCTAAACCGTAATAGAACCTCTGGGTTTGGCCCTAAACCCTAAACCCGAAACCCCCCTAAACCCTAAACCCTATTCCTGCGGCCCTTCGTCAGAGCCACGGCTTTGAGCCCTTGTCTGGTGTCACCATGCTGAGGGTTCGGGCTTTTGAGCATAGATGAGCTATAGCCCAAAATCCTTAAAGGGGGGGTTATATAAGGGATTACATAGGGGAGTATCATAGGGGTTGTTAAGGGTGATACTAGGAGCTTTGACTAGAGCTCAGATGGCCAGCCCGAAGGTGTTTCAGAAACATCCTCACACACCCATTTCCTACTTGTCACCTCATGCCTAGACCCTCCAATGTAGTACCTTTTTGGCAGTCCGAATAAGAGTCCCAATTACAAAAAACATACCAAACCGGTGGTCAAGGACTCTACCCCGAAAGCCTACACCCTGAATCCCAAACCCTAAGCCGTGCCCTACTCCCTAGACCCTAGACCCCAACATAGTCTAAACTCCTTAAAGGGAGGTTATATGGGGAGTATATAGGGTTTCGGGTTTAGGGTCTAAACTCCCTAAAAAGGGCTATATAGGGGAGTATATAGGGGACTGTTGTAGGGCTTGCTAAGCGGGATACTAGGAGTTTAGGCAATGGCTCAATAGGTGTCTACAGCACGCAGTGTAGAGTAAGATTGTATCCATGTCTTTGGTATCACATTTTGTCAGACAAATGTAATCTTGCTTGGTTCAGACACCAAAAGCAAACCTCCCCTCAACCCTAAACTCTCAGCTCTCAACGCACAAGGAACCCGCCGCTTTTCAAAAGGCATGCCCTGCGAGAGGAGCAGCTCAGATCTTTAGGATGCTGGGCTTTGGTACTATGGGTTTTTGCGAATACAAGGCGCTTTTTAGAGTTCAGGTTTTCAGAGTCTAGAATTTTTAGGGTTTCGGCTTTCAAGTCTAGAGTTTTTAGGGTTTAGGCTTTAAAGTCTAGAGTTGTTAGGGCTGGGATTTAAAACTTACGTGTATTTAGAGCAGAGAGTTTCACAGTTATCTTACGGGGCATGGAAGGATGATGCGTGAGGTATAGGGTCTGGCATAGGCGTCCTCTTAAGCGCTACACAGTTCAGGGATTATATAGGGGACTACTATAGGGGTTATTAAGGGGGATACTAGGAGTTTAGCCTCTGGCTCATATAAATACATGAGGATCTCGTTAAGTTTGTTATGCTGCGGGTCGCTGTAGTGAGGTTCCGATTATAATATGGCCCCCTAGATGAATTTCTCCGAGAACACTACTTTAGGCCAGGTCGCACATACCTTGTAGCGGGGCGGGGTACATTGTGGGCTTTCCAAACTCCTTGTTGAAACCTGGGTTGCTGTGAGAGATATAAACTAGGTTACACTATTGTGGGTGTATCGTGGATAATGGAGTCTCCTTATTATAGTAACTTAACTCAAGCTCCTTACCAGCAACCCAGTGGCGAGGGAACTCTAGGGTGTCACCGCTCTGAACCTCGCCACAGGTAAATTCCATTCGATCAGAGATCCGAAGGTCAATCCTCCAACCCCAAACCCCCAAAACCTAAAACCTAAACCTAAACCCTAAACCCAAGCCTCGAACCCTACCCTCTTGATCCCAAAGTCAAGGATGGATGCTGAAGCAAGAGACTAGGTACACCAGTGGTACTCTTTTTCCCTTTTATTTCGGGGTCTTCTTATTAAAGTTGAAAATTAAGAAAAAGGGACCCTTATTATTAAGGGGTTACTGCAGAACCTAGGAGAAGCTTTCCGGCCCGTTGCGAGGCGGACTGCTTGCCGACAGGAGAGAGAGGGGTAGGGGGTTTAGGGTTTAGGGCTTAGGGTTTAGGTTTTAGGGGTAGGGGAGGGAGAGAGGCAACTTAGAAAGATCATTGGATTCACTGACTCGTGAAATACCTTGAAAGAAGTTTTTCAGCAGTCTTGGACGCCTGGCCTCAGAAGAGTTCCAGTATTAGCACTTCCGTGACAACAAATGGTTCAGATTCCTTAGCTTCGCCCAAGTTTTCAGCCATACAACAATACGCAAATCTCCGAATGGACGTACTGCGGTAAGGTGTTTGTTCTTGAGAAAGCGTTGCTTATTCATACTTGAAGTGTGTAAATGGGCCGTCCAATTCTGAAGACCGCAAGCACAAACCTGCTTTGGAGTTTAGGATTTAGGGTGATATCCTAAGTCCTCAGATTTGCCAAATTTGTCCGTCCAGAGCATGTTGCAGGTCTCACACACTAATAGTGATCACCACGGATAATGGTAAGTACGCTCAGGTCCTTCTTTATACCTATCATATCTACCAACCTTTTAGGAAGGAGATTTTGGTAACCCCAGCCCCCCCAACTCAGGAACCAATTGCAGTCACCTGATACTTGTAGGATTCTAGTTTTGGGATTTTGGGGTTACCAAGGTTCTCTTATCACCCAAAACTGATTCCTATGTAGCCCCAGCTTACATGTCATTATCCATTATCACCTACATCGTCCGAAAGTTACTCTCATAGATAAATCCTCTTATCATTTTCCTAAACCCTAAACCGCGGTGGGGACTTGGCCCTCAGGGAGCTTTTCCCGGGGTTAGGATCCTTCAGCAATGGAGCACGGCCTTCAAGTACAGCGTATATGGGGGCCAAGACCCAAGGTTACAAACCTTAAAGGTACAAACTGTAAGTCTTTGAAGCCCCCCTCGTGTCTTGAATTGGGGAGTTGATTTCACACCGAATGCTTGAAACTCAAACCTCATGCCCCCAATAGCTCAGACCCCAAACCCTAAACCTCTAAACCCAACACCCTTAGAGCCTTAAAAAAACACCACACCCTAAGACCCTAACTTCAACTCCCCCACTTTCCCAGGATGGGCTTTGGGAAAACCAGCGTAGCGATCGGCCTGACATCGCTGAACGTGAAGCCTCCCACCCTCCCAGGCCGGGATTTTCTTCGGGTTTACGGTTCGGGGTTTGGGGCTTCGGGACTAGGCTACAATATTATATATATGTGTGGAATTTTGAAAACCTAGGGGTCTCTTTGAGTGTCTCCATAGTAGTGCTACTAGTATATAAGCCTTTAGACCCAAACCATACACCGCGTGCGTGTATGGAGGGGAGTTTTGGGTCTAGGTTAGGTGGACCCTCCGCCATGTGATAGTGCTACAATAGGAATTTAAGCGCACCTTAATACAATCACCACGATCCCCTCTAGTCCAAACTCTAAGCCCTGAACCCTAAACTCTTAATCCAATTCCTTGGTGGCAGCGCCTTCGCGCCACCGCCCTTGTAAGTTTTCACAATTCCTAGTAGAATCACTCTGGCCGGGTGGGGCATTCACCTGAGGTCCAGGATTTCGGTTTCAGGTGTTGGTTTAGGGTTGAGTGAGCGAAAAGCCCAAGTTAAGATCAGGTGATCTTCCATAATCTCTCATGGCCTATATTCTAGCGAAAACTCACATTGCAGAAAACTCCCTGGGTTTGGGGTCTAGGTCGTAGGTTTGAGGCTTCAGGCTTTATGTTTCAGGATCAGGTTCCATGGTTTGGAAATCACCGCTTGTGGTTTCAGGCTTGGCGTCAATTAGGGGTCTTGGTTTCAAGTTCGGGGTTTGCGGTATGACCCTAAACCCTAAACCCTCAACCCTAAACCCTAAACCCTCAACCCTAAACCCTAAACCCTAAACCCAAGGATCCGGAGGCCTCGCAAATTTGAGAGCAAATAACAACTGTGCTGCCGGAGGGTAGTTTGTAGTGAGACTTGAATTGGAGAGGTCTTTATGGCACAAACTAGTCATCATAGCAACTGTATTGCCGACGCTGGTGGCTGTTGATAGATTTGAGGTTAACAGCGCCCATGGTGATACCATCAATACCACTTTTCATCTTGAGGCTTATGAGGCTGTTAAAGTTCAATAAGTACCCCTAAATCCTAAACCCTTGAAGGCAACTTTAGGCCCTAAACCTTAAACCCTAAACCCTCAATCATCAACCCTACACCTTGAACCCTTAAACCTCGAACGTGCTTCCAGGCTTCAAGGATGCAAGATGCGGCTACATTCCCAGCAGTGCGACACTCATCATGTGTCCGTCGCACCTTCTGGACTACGGTTCAAGTGATGATTGCTGATTGGGCCGCAAGTCTTTTTCTATAACCCCCCCGTGCAAACTAGCCGTAAAGCCCCTTTTCAGAGAAGGACAATTGTTTCGGGCTTTTATGTTCAGAGGTCCGGATCGAGCGCTTAGCGGCTTAGCGGCTTAGCGCTGAAGGGTTTTGAGCTCAGGGCAGTGAGGCACGAGTATGACTTGAATCGCCAGGCAATTCGGCGCATGAGCATCATCTTAGGTACAGAGGCAGCTATACAAGCAGTGCAATATCATTGTGGCTTTTGCTTCTCATGTTTGGCTTCCTAGTAGTAACTTTTGCTATATTACTGAGTTTCTTCTCGTTGCTCGATGACACAGAAACTGACGGTACCGCTATGCTTTTTGTTTTCAATGGCTTTGGGTATATTGTCATAGATCCCCATATACCTCATATTCTATCTACTTAAGGGAGACTGTAACCCCCTGGGAGGACCAGTGGCAGGAGGAGTTCTGGAAGTTTCTGGGCAGCGGTGGTGTGGAAATCTCCGAGGTTGTGGACTCGAATTCTGGTTACCGAGAGATGGTGATGCGTTTCCGTACCAAGGAGTTGCCAGAAGAGGGAGGCTGTCGGTTCGGCATAGAAGTTGCAGGAGATGCTGGGTTGCTGTTAAGGAACTTAAGTTAAGTTACCATAATGGGTAGAAGTAGTAAATAATAGGGTTTCCCCAACATAGTAACTTAATTTAAGTTCCTTAAATCTCCATACTCCCCTTGCTTCCATTTCATTTTCCATTTTCTTTTCCATTTGATTCTCCATTATGGTGGGATAATATGGTAACTTAATTTAAGTTCCTTAACAGCAACCCAGGATGGTGTCCAAGGAGCATCAATAACACATATCTATCCTGCTGCAGCCAAGAGGCTAGCGAAGCTGTGCAAGGGGAATGTTCCATGCGTTGGAGATCGCATCAAGAAGGTCCACTGCACTCATGTCGCTCCTTACGAAGAGGACGAGTGGACCCAAAATTTGACGGTGTCTGCTGTGGCAAAGGTGAAAACTTTCATCAATTACAAACCAGGACATCGTCCTCCACGACCCTCCCCGCAAGAGCGGAATCTTATGGCAGCTCTTACAGATGAGTCTGTGGTCACCATCACCTTCCGGATTCGCCCGACAGATCAGCAGCGCACCGCAGTGACACGGGGAAGCGGGCCTCTGAAGGTAAGGTGTTGAAAGATTTGCGAGTCCCGTTCGTAAACCCGCAGAACCACCCTAAACCCTAAATCCCAGATTCGAACGAGTCTGTAGACTCTAAATCCCAAAATTGAAGCTCTTAGGCCTGATGAAAGGAGCGATAAACGCCATTCGACGCTGTGAAAGGTAGGGCAGTTCGGGGTGGGTGGAGTGTCCAGATCGGGGAGGGAGCCAACTTCATCGCTATTTGCAGTGCTTTTGAATTTCGATTACGCCGTGCGCTTCGATGGAGATGGGCGGGGTCGTCCAAATGCTATGTTTGCAGCATTCGCTTGTTTTTTAAGTTGTCGGAAAGGCAGAAACACCCGTATCTACAGTTTTTTCTGCTTGCGCACTGTGCACAAAGCTGTCCTCGTCGGGAGAAAAAGGCACGAGGCTCTCAACAGGTATTTGGGCACTGTTTGCATTCGCCTCGTTCGTGGTAGTAACGTGCGTTTCGTTTGGGTTTCTTACATCGATTTTCTTGCAGGAGCCTGAAAAGGGGGCCGCTTCGGTGACGAGGTGTCTTGGAAATGGCTCCGAGCAGACCATCCATGCCCAAAGTATAGAATGAGATCGTCCGTTTCTAACTGCATCCGATCTCCAGAGCATCGATGCCCAAAACAGAATATCGTTCATTCCTTCTTGTATGCCATCACCCGAGCATCCATGCCCAAGTCGGAATCTCAGCCATTCCCACTCTGGCCGATTAGTCCAAGGATCGTCTCATTAGTCCAAGGATTGTTCCCAGTAGTCCAAGCCACCCCATTCGTCCAAGGCCTTGAGTCGTGAGGAGTTCCGATTTCAAGTTATCGTCAGCCCATCAGTTGGAAGATTCTTTAGGGGGACTGGGAAGCATTTAGACCCAAGCATTTAAATATATTTAGATATTCTGGTAAGGGTTCTTACCGTAAAGAATTTAGATGCCTATAGTTAAATGCTTCCTAGGGTTCCTAGATTGCTCCCATTATTCCAAGCTACGCCACAATAGTCCAAGGTCGTGAGGACTTCTGATTTAAATTGTATCCTAACCCTAAACCCTAAACCCAAGTATTGTACCCAAATGGTGACGCAAAAGACAGTTCTCAATCAAGCTTGCTGGAGCCGGAACCACAGTTGCAGTCACTTCTTTTTGGTAAACCTTAAACGCCAAACCCAATCCCTTAACTGAATATGGCGTCGAATGGCGCTCGTATCTTTTTTTGGGGGGGCGCTGTGGTGGAAATTTGCCCCTATAGAGCCGGGGTCGAGGTTAAGAAAAAATGCCAGAGATCCAATACTTAAATAATGGGGACCTAAAACCCTAGTATTTGGGGTTTAGGGTTTAGGGTTGGGTCCTTGGACCCTTAGGGTTCGGGTTTAGGGTTTAGCCAGAAGGTGCTCGTCATTCGAGCAAGCAATGAGATGAACTGGCTCCAGCAGCAAGACATCCTGCGATTCCATGTCGTCCTGGCCTCCACCGGCATCTTTCCTAAACCCTAAACCCTACACCCCAAACCCTCAACCCTAAACCCTTTGCAAATGTTCTCACTGAAGCATTGCAATCATCATTACGACTAGTTTTCTGACTTCTTGTTTCTAGGTATTTTATTGGTTTTCATTACCTCAAGAACTGGGCCTATGCAGGCATCCATGCAGACCAGCGCTATGCCAGCTATGTTACCGATGCAGCGAAAAGCATCAAGAGCAAAGTACATGTTATGGCCAAGAAGGCGGGGCGTTCTAGATCCAACGACTTTCTTTTGGCCGTCCTTTTGGTAGTTGGGGTCAGCATGTTTTCCGCGACTGTTCTTCGTGATGCGGTCCTGTGCCTCATCTGGAATCTGGAAAGTGAAAGCAGCAGCTCCCCGTAACTCATATGTACTGTAGTCTAAACTCCTTAAAGGGGGTTATATAGGGGATTATATATGGAACTACTATAGGGCTGATTAAAAGGGATACTAGGAGTTTAGACTCAGACTATGGCTCATATGATTACAAAGGTTTGTCATTGCTTCAAAACGGTATCGCGCAGCCCGTCCCCTGACTATGCTGTGGCAGGACCCTTAGCCCTAAGCCCCTAAATCTTTAAAGCCCGTAATCCTTTGACCCTAAACCCCTCAATCCTAAACCCTAAACCTTAAACCATGTGGGCCAGATGCGCTGCTTGGAAAAGGGGTGCCTTGTTGTGGAAGCTTCTCAAAACAATCTCTGGATAATCCCCAGTATAGAACCCCATAATCCCCTAAACTCTAAACCCTAAACTTCCCATGTTAGCGCGATTTCCCGAATCAGGGGTAATGGGAACGTATTGGAAAAATGGGGAAGAAAATTGAAGGGTTCAATGTTCTTGTGGCTTCCTGACTGCCCGGTTTCAGACTCCTGCGGCTTTGTTTTCGTTTCTTCGGAAGAGTTTTCTGGCTTAATTCACTGGAATCGACAGGAAGTGCATTCTGTAGTAGCCAAATCGGAGCCGCAGGCGCTTGACATGGAATGAAATAGTGGCAGCTGCAGCTCACCAAATGACATTTGGACCACAAACATGATTCCAGGTATGGTCCTTAATGTGGGGCTAATGGGCTCTCTGGGGTCATGGCAGCAAGAGGCAGCCATAAGTTGAGAGCTCTGTTGAGTGTCCTTTTTCTTCAGACGGCAGTTGGCCACGAGGGCTCTATCGAGTGTCCTTTCTTTTAGATGTGAGTTTGCTCAATGTGTGTACTTCGTTCTTCCATTGGAGCCTGCAAAAACGGAGGGCTCCAACAGCTGTCTTCAACAGAGCACTGTCGAGAGCGTTTCGTCTTAGATGGAAACTGCAACAACGAGGGCTCCGCGTCTTCAAGGAGGGCTCCGTCAGGTGTCCTTTCTCCTTAGACTGGACTTTGCCAAAAAAAAGGGTTCCAACAGGTGTCTTCAACATCTGGAAAATTCCACATGACTGACCTGAAAGCTTAAATCTTAAACCCTACACCCCAAAGCTGTATTCCGTTTCCCCCATGTAAAGCCAACATAATTCCTACATAATCCCCTTACTCCCTACACCCCAAACTGTTTTGTTCAGGTGGGGGCTCTTCCTGACCTTGTTACAGCCAAGAGCCGTGACAAGAACTCCTTTGACATGTTCCTTACTGGGTGTTAGCAGGGAAGAAGGGGGATATAGTGTATAGGGACCATATGGGGATGATACGCCGTTATTCCCTACTAACAGCAGTAAGGCTCTTGCGCCGGACGCCCGCTTTGTTCGAATTGACCCGATGGCACCGTGTAATCCTCGACGAGTTCCACGAGAGTGAAGCCTGGGAGTACAGGGTCAGAGAGATGCTTCGAGGCCTGACGGCAGTGCACAAGTGGGGTTTGTCGGGCACACCTCCGCTGGACAGCGCGGCTGCGGTGGCGGAAATCGCCGGGTTGCTTGGCTACGCGTCTGCAGACAAGTCTGAAGAGGCAGATGTGATTGCACAGGCGCTTCACTGGGGCAGCTTTTCGGCACGAGGTGACTTTCCATTCAGCTGTCCTGAAATGCAGCAAAAGCTGCAAACCGCCTCCGAGAAGTTTGTGGCGGGATTCATCAGGCGGGTCAGGGTTAAGTGCTTAATTTGGATCAATGTTAGGGATCCTTTCAAAGGGGATATAGGGGTTATATACGGATATTATTAGGGATGTATAGGGATTAGGGATCCTTTATTTATACTTTTCGGGTATGGGACCCTAAATCCTAGACCCTAAACCCCAAACCCTAATTTTCTTCCTAGGGTAATGTGGGCAAAGTAATGTGCAAACGGCAGCTTTGAGCCCGTACCTCTGCCGTAGGCAGAAGCCCAAATTGCCATCAGTCATAGATAACGACTTAGGGTTTAGGGTTTACGGTAGTAATATTGGGTTATATTGTGGTAATATCAGGGTAATATTTGGGTTATATTGGGTAATGGAAAAGAAAATGGAAACTACTATAGATAACGATAGTGTTTAATTATTGTACCTGCCTGGTCTGAACCAGCGGCACTGTTCAGCCAGACTTCTCATGTTCGCAGTAGGCTGAATGGTTCCGAAGTGTAGCCATAGGGATAATGGGAAAGGAAATTGAAGCCACTACTGACGCTTTGGGGTTTAAGGTTCATAAATATGACCCGAATGGATAATCAAATCAAGCAGAAATGGAAAATGAGATAGAAACCGGGACCATGTAGGGTTTGGCGGATTAGGGTTTCAAAGTTTCCCAAGCTTAGCCAAGCCCCGATTTTTGACTCGATGGCTGGCATGTGACTATACAAGGTCCTAATGTGGGAGGTTGGGGTTACCAAAATCCTCTTACATTCTAAAGCTTGTCCCTTCCGAACCTGTCATATACCATGGTTACAAGGGAGTTTCCAAAAAGATCTGTCGGTAGTCTGCAGAATACGGCTCGCGTTGTTTTCGGGAATGGTTCGCGGGGGCTTAATTTTCTACATTGATTCTTGCTGTCAAACATGATTTTCGTGGCGTGGTATGAGAACAATGGCCCCGATAGATAGGGCCCCTACACTGCATCCCATCCCTCTTCTCCCTGTCAGGTAGAAGCCCGAGATTTTTTGATATTTTTTAGGGGTTCAGGGCGTTGGGTTTAGTGTTCGGAGTGTAGAAGCCTGAAAAAACACCAACATTCTTCTGCAACAATCCTTATGTGACTATGGTATTACACACCCCGAAACCCTACTTCAAATGAATAGGCCCCTACATTACCTCCCTCTGTCAAGGATCTTGTTGAACAATTCTGGATGCTTTTGAGATTCCACAGGCTATTCCCCAAAAGCATACTTCGAGGTTTGTCGGACTTAGTACCTCTGCGCAACTACCTATCACACACCGTAAACCCTAAATCCCTTTACCCTAAACTAACCTCCCAGTAGAATGTCCCAAATTGCTCTCAAGAAGTTTTGAGTATGTGGTTTCGCGCGCATGGGCTTTACATCTTCCTCTGGTCTCCCCCTAGAATCCTGATGCACGCCGCACGCCTCATGTGAGGGTAGCCACCTAGTAACACTCCCGCAAAAATTCATTCAAACAACCTCATAATTCGTTTTCATCCTAGCATTTTGCAGATCAACGCTTGTACGATCTGTAGCAGGGAACCAGAACCCCGTTCCACCTGCATCCATGCCCAAAGCATAATAACGTTTGTGTTCGAGAGAATCCCATCCCCGGAGCATCAATGCCCAAACCATACCAAAGTTCGTTTGCCAGCCGCGAAGCGGGTCTGCGGAATTGCGTTTTGTGCGGCGCAACGTCCCGTCGGAGGGCTACACCGTAAACCCTAAACCCTAGCACGAAGCTCCCTAGGACACCCAGCTCCCATGCAGTCCTCAAAAGGAAGTTACTGAGAACCCCAAGAACGTAGTAGGAATATAATGGGAGCATAAGGAACCCGATGGTTATATTCCGAGAATTTTCCGAAAATATTCTTCGGGTTACCTGTTTGGGGGTTCCCATTACAGTCCGTTTACCCCTTGGCTCAGGCAGAACACATCAGCATTGGTGGAGCAGATCGGCATCCAGGCCAGCATCATGGAAATCCGACACTTTGCTTGTTCTGGTGTTGGTTGCTATTTTGGTGATGGCGGTGGCGGCAGCAGCGCTGGTGCTGGCGCTGTTGCTGGTACCAGTTCCGGTGCTGCTGGAGCTGGTGCTGCTGGTGCTGCTGGTGCTGCTGGTGCTGCTGGTGCTGCTGGTGCTGCTGGTGCTGCTGCTGCTGGTGCTGCTGCTGGTGCTGCTGCTGGTGCTGGTGCTGCTGGAGCT